TCCCCCTGCTGGCAGCCCCCAGCCCTCCTTCCCCTGCACGGTCCCCCTCCCCCGCACCTGGGGGGTCCATCTCAATGTAGAAGATGAGCTCAGTGGAGTAGGGCATGGTCACGTCCCTCCAGTCTTCGCCTTCGCCGCCCTCGCCGCCCTCGCCTTCGCCTTCCCCGCCGTCCTCGCGCTCCATGCCCCACGGCGGCGTGTACATTGCTGTCCCGCGGGGGCTGGCCGCGCTGCTCCGGCCCCCACACGTACGCCACCCCGGGCTCGCCGCCCGCTCTCGGCCCCGGCCCGGCTGCAGTTCCAGCTCCGGCTCCGGCTCCGGCCACTAGAGTTTCATTTTAACGGCGCGGAGGGAGGGGAGGGAGGGGAGTGGACAGCCCTCCCGCCCTCCCCCCGGCCCGACCCCGCCTCCCGCCTAGGAAAGACCAATGCAGCACCGGCCATGGGGAACGAGGGGGGGAGGGGAGCACGGACTGCTCCTCTCTCAAACTACAGGAGCCCTTCAAGAGGCCACGTGAGAAATTCGAAAAGAAGGATATGTACGGAGACGACCGCAAAAAGTGGGGCTTTCCAGGCCGGCCTCCCCTATCTGTCACCTCCTCCCAAGGCTCTCCCCCCCCACAGTGGAGTATGATGGTACGACCCAAGAACTGGCTAGGCGCCGGGCGCTGGGGCCGGGAGACTGTGAGCCGCGGGGGGAGGGCGGGGGCAGAGCGGAGCGCTGCGATTGGTAGAGGCCGGTTGCCGGAGCCGGGAGCCTGCGTCTTTTGTCTGCCTTGCTCCAGGAGAGGCCGCGCGAGGCGGCTGCGCGCCCGGTAGAAGGCCAATCAAAAGGCGGCCGGCGCCGGCCGGTGTGTAGCTGATTGGTCGGGATCCCAGTTACCAAGCGGGACAAAGGCAGAAGGGGCGGGCCCTGGGAGGGGGCGGGGGAGGTGGCCCGGCCCTGAGCGCGCGGCTCAGCTCGGCTGGCTCAGCCCGACGCGCTGGGGGCTCCGGCTGCCCAGAGACAGCTAGCAGCAGAGGGGGCGGGGCCGGCCGGAGCCGGGCCGGGCCGGGCGGGGCGGGGCGGAGCTAGCGGAGGAGCAGAGCTCGTGCTAGTGCTGCCTGGAGACAGAGGCTGAGGGGCGGGAGCTGGAGAAGCAGCCACCCCCTCCACTCTCCACCCCCCTGCACACAGACGTGTAAGTGCATGTACAACCCTGTGCACTGCACACACATGATACACGCATGTGCAGGTCCGCAGGCCACCATGATGACACATTGTGCATTGTCCAGGCACCCTTCTGCTGTGCATTGCACACGCATGACACAAGCCTGAACATGGGCTCCCGAACACCCACACACCGTGCCCATACGTTGTACATTGTCCAGACATGTCCCCCCAGCTGTGTACTGACACATGTGCACGAATACACATCCACACACCATGCCGTTACCGGTGTGCATTGTCCAGACACCCCTCCCCAGCTGTACACAGGCACCTGCACACTACAACGCCCTGTACAGGTACACAGGCGCACACCCAATACACACAAGCATGTATGCAGACACAAGTACATACTCCACACCTGTGAGTGCACATATCACAACGTCTATACTACACGTATGCAGGTACAGCCAGCACCAGGAGCATATACATGGTATACACACAACAACACACGCACGCACACACACACACATCAGCCCACAGGGTCTCTAGTCCCTGTTCCTGGACCCAAGTGTCAGAACTTCGAGTATCAGCACGCCCTCGTTCTGGAGGAGGCCCGGAATGAGAAGCGGGCTAAGCTCTCGAGACTCCTAGCTCAGTTTCGGACAGAAGTCCTGAATCGGCTAGGTGTTCCGAAAGACTTCCCAACTGGAGCTGTCCACTAGCTGGAAAAGAGGGGTGGCCTGAACCGAGAGCCTCTACCACTTTTCCTAAGCCCTGGGCTCCCCACTGCAGGTTCCCCAAACCAGAAAAGATCTTGGAGGAGAGACAGACATAGAGAGACAGAGACAGAGAGACAGAGACAGACAGAGACAGAGAGAGACAGAGACAAAGAGACAGAAAAAGCGGAAAAACAGAGACAGTGAGAGAGATAGTGAGAGACAGACAGAGACAGAAAGAGACACACACACACACACAGACAGAAAGCCTGACTCGGCCCGGCCCAGCCTGGGCCAGTGCAGCGGAGCAGAGGCGTGGACTTCGGGAGCTAAGCCTCTGGCAGGGGTACCTCGGGCCCTCGCCCCCCCACCACAACGACTTCAGTTAATACTCCAGGCACGCCCAAGTGTCCCAGTCTCAACGGATCAGGGGCGGTCCAGAGGCAGGGGCATAATTAGAACGGCTAGCAGGGCAAGGCCCCCGCGTATAGCATGTATACCGTGTCCGGAACTGCGACTGGGGCCCCCAGAACAATACCATACGAGGAGGCGAGAACGACTATATTTCCTCTTTCCCCAGGAGTAACAAAGCCCATTGTGCTCCTGTTGGCAGCCGCCGCCGGCCTGGAGGCCGCCGCGCCTCCTGCCCCTCCTACCCTGTGCTGCTGGGCAGTGTTGAAGTGGGAGGGGGAACGGTTGCGCCCCCCACCATTCTTCTCCCCAACTTTGACTTCAGTCCTGACTAGCCAGTGAGCTTCCACTACTGGGTGGAGGGGGGATGCTCAGGAACGAGGGGGAATTGTGTGTGGGGGGGGGGGTGTTAAGAAACGATGGACCGAAGTAGCAGGGCTCTGAGATCCAGATGGGAGCCGCGGGCTCTCGGCTTTGGCCGTGTCCCTGGCAGAGGTCCTAGCCTGCCCTGATGGCCGCTTGCCTCCCCGCCAGTCCCCAGACCCAGGCTTGGGCGGCACACCAGGCAGAACATGCCGGTGGGGTTGTTTTCTTCCAACTATGTCCCTGTTCCTTCCAGAAAAATGAGGGAGAAATAAAAAAGCAGGCAAAAGAGGAGAAGCTCCAGGCAGCTGCCGGCCCCTTGGACCAGCTTTTCTCTGTTTCCTGGTGCCCCCAACCCCACCCCACTAAACAAAGGCTCTCCCTGAGATCTGAGCCCTTTCAAAGTTGGGGAATCCAGAAGGCTTGGGTTCAAACCTTAGCTCTGCGCCGGGTCCCCAGGTCACCTTGGACAAATTCCCTCCTCCCTCTGGGTCTCAGGTGCCTCTTCCTTAAAGTGAGGGGGCGGCACTTGGACTAAATGCTCTCCGAGGGCTCGTTCTACCCACATTCCTTTGATCCAGGGAGCAGAAGGCACTTGGGCTGATACCGACACGTTGGCTAACGGAAAAGTCCTTCGGGAGCGACTGTCCATGCTTGCCTCCCTTCTAGAAAGGCTCTCTCAATTAGGTAGAGGCCTACAGTCAAGAAGACTTGAGTTCAAATTCTGCCATAGACACTAGCTGTGTGATCTTGGGCAAGTAATTTAACCTCTGTCTGCCTCAATTTCTGCATCTGTAAAATAGGGATGACAGTAATAGCACCTGCTTCATAAGATTGTTGTGAACATCAAAGAAAATAATTAATTGTAAACCATTTAACACAGTCCCTGCCACATAAGAGATGCTTAAATATTTATTCCTCTTTCCTCCTCCTTCTGACCCTAAGTCCAGGTCCAGGAGACCTCTGGAGAACACAAAAGGGATGGTATCAGTTGGGGAAATATTGTTCATACTGGCATGGAATGCTTTTGCTCTATAAGAAATGATGGTTTTTAGAAAACCAGAAGATTTGTATGAACTGATGCAAAGTGGAGTGAGCAGAATCAGCAGAACAATTTATATAATGACAACAACAAGTAAAGCTTTGGAAAGACTTTAGGAATTCTGATCAGTGCAGTGATCAATCATGATTCCAGAGGACCAATGAAACAGGTTACCCAGGCCCTGAAGGCGGTAGACTCAGGGGGCAGAATGAGACATACGTTTTTGGATAGGGTTAGTGCTGAAATTTGTTTTGCTTGACAAGGTATATTTGTCACAACGTTTTTCTCCTTTTTTAGGAGGTGGAACGGGGTTGGGGAGGACCTTCCTTCTGAGACAGGATTGAGTGAGTGCCCTAGCCTGCTGACTAGTCACAGCCCCGGGAAGAGGCTACCTTCTTGCCCTGGGTTGACAGATAAAAGCGAGGTTCTCACTGCTTGTCCCTAAGCAGCCCCAGGCACTTTTGGCAAAGGTAGGGACTGTTAGCTCTGGTGTTCTGGCTCCCCTCCATGCTAGGGAATTATATTTGGCCTAGGCATGGAGCAAATTCAGCTCCTGGAGTGCCAAGTCCTAGGTCACAAGGCTGGTAATTTGGGAACTGCTTCTCACTCCCTCCATTCCCCCTCTTCCTTCCCCTCCTTTCCTCCCTCCCTCTCTTCCCCTCCCTCTTTCTTTCTTTTCCTCTTTCCCTCCCTCCTTCCCTTCTCCCTCTCTGTTTCCTTCTCTCTCTCTCTCTCTCTCTCTCTCTCTCTCTCTCTCTCTCTCTCTCTCTCCCTTCCTCCTCTTTCCTCCCCTTCTTCCCCTCTTTTTCTGCCTTCATTTACCTATTTGTACCATAGAATGATATTGGTGCTGACCATACAGTCCTTTGAAAGTTAAAAAATGTACGACTGAAGTCCAGAGAATGAATAACAGCATCTTCCTGTAATTCCACGGGGATAAGCTGCCCTTTACTGGCCTGGCCTATTGTCTGGGCTTTGTGTGAGAAGTTAAGCAATTGCAGCATTTCCCTCCCCCTTTCCATTCTCCCACACTCCTCCCCCAGTGGCTTGCTCACCTTCAGAGATGGTTGGGATATGCCCACTGGGTTCTGCTGCATTACCCCCGTGCTTGCTGGACTCCTCCCAAATCAGCCATAAGGCCCTGATGAATAAAGGTGCCATTTTAAATATAGTTCATTTGTCAGATTTGCCAGATAGAAACACACATCATACCACTGATTTTGGTCTCAAGCTGGAAGGAACCTCCATGGGCACCTGGTTTAAACTCTTCTTTTTAAAGATGGAAAAACTGAAGCCTGGGGGTGTGAAGGGAGCTCAGACTCTCCCAGGCAATGGAGCCACAGAGGCACGATTCAAACTCAGGTCTGTGGATCTCAGACTTGGGACTTTTTCCATCTCACTGCCATTTCTCTGCTTTTGTTTGGGGCTTCTCCATGCCATTGCTTTTGAAGACCACAACTGGCTCCAGAGACCTGTG